CAGGCGGGGAGCGGGAGGAGGCGCAGGAGCGGGAGGAGGAGCAGGCCTTCCTGGTCAGCCTCTACAAGTTCATGAAGGAGCGACACACGCCCATCGAGAGGGTGCCCCATCTTGGCTTCAAGCAGAGTGCGTCCCTGGGGTGCAGGCAGGGAGGGGGGGCCCGGTAGGGGACCCCAGCTAGGCAGGGCATTGGGGCAGGCACCTCCACTCTGGTGACCCTGACACTACCAGCCCACAGGGTTACATATAGGGGTACCCCCTTCCCGGTGCTGGGCTGGCAACGGGCGGGGCTGCATCTCCACCCTCACCAGCCACTGGGCAGCAGTGCCCAGGGCCCGCCCAGCCTGCTGTCCATCGCAGTGGCCCTGGTTCTGTGCCTGCCTGACAGGCCACGGGAATGGGCTGCGGGCCGCCCTCCTATGGCAGAGACTGACGGTGCCCTCCCCTCTCTTTTCCCCAGTTAACCTGTGGAAGATCTACAAGGCCGTGGAGAAGCTGGGGGCCTACGAGATGGTAAGGAAGGCACCCCTGAGCCCTCAGCAGGCTGGTCTCCCACCACACCCAGGGGCGCTGGGAAAGAGGAGAGCCCCGTGGAGCTGCCCTGGCCTCCAGACAGGAGGATGGGGGCCCCGGTCCTGCCCCTCCCAGCGCCCCTGAATGCAGTGGGGAGGGAGAGGGCTTGCCTGGCCTGCTGGTACTTTGCTGCTCAAAGCAAGTTTCCTCTTTCCCCATCTGTTCTGCCTTCCCCGAGCTCGGAAAGCTGCTTGGGCCAGCAGACCGGTGGCAGGGGTGGGGGAGGGGGTGCTGGCCTGCCGCCAGATGAGGCCCTCCAATAACCTCAACCTGGCCTCACTGCTAGCGGGCACCCTGCCTCACCTGGTGCCCTTGCAGGTGACCGGCCGCCGCCTCTGGAAGAACGTGTATGACGAGCTGGGGGGCAGCCCAGGCAGCACCAGTGCGGCCACGTGCACTAGGCGCCACTACGAGAGGTGCGGCCGGGGGCAGTTCCAGGGCAGGGGTCCTGCCCTCCCCGGGGTGTGGTGCAGGAGTGAGTGCCTGAGAGTATACTGTGGACAGGGGTGGGGCAGGATGACAGGGGGGTGTGGGACGGGTGCCCTGCTGCTCAGGGGAGCCGGGCCGGCTGGGCAAGCAGGAAGAGGTGGCCCGGGAGCCTGCCCTGTCCACAGAGTGTGCGAGGCTGTAGGAGGAGCAAGGGGGTGCCTGCCGGTCCTGGCCCCCTGGTGGACGTGCCGCTCCTCCTCAGGCTGGTCCTCCCATACGTGCGGCACCTGAAGGGGGAGGATGACAAGCCGCTGCCCCCCTCCAAGCCCAGAAAACAATACAAGATGGCCAAGGAGCCTCGAGGGGACGACGGGGCCACCGAGAGGCTGAAGGCCAAGGAGGAGCAGCTGGGCCAGGTGAGCCCCGAGCCCCAGAGCCACCAGGTGAGCCAGGGCCTCCCTGCCTGCCTCTCAGATGCCCCCTCCCTCTGTTCCCCCTCACTGTGGTGTGGCCGCACAGCGCCCTGCCCAGAACACCGATCTGTCATCTGTCGGTGTAAGTTCCCTGTTTGAGGCCCGGGGGGTCTGCCGCCAGTCTGACTCCACTCTCCGGCCCTGTGTCCGGACGCCAGCCCGTCCGTCCCGAGACCTGGGCCCCTTTTGAAAACGTTGTGCAGAGCCCTGGCCGGTCTGACTCAGTGCTTAGAGCAGTGATGGCAAACCTATGACACGCGTGTCAGAGGTGACACGCAAACTCATTTTTTAAAATATATTTTATTGATTTTTTACAGAGAGGAAGGGAGAAGGATAGAGAATTAGAAACATCGATGAGAGAGAATGTGTGACACGGCACCAGAGTTAAGTTAGGGTTTTTCAAAATGCTGACACGCCGAGCTCAAAAGGTTCGCCATCACTGGCTTAGAGGGTCAGCCCACGGAATGAAGGGTCTCGGGTTTGATTCTGGTCAAGGGCACGTGCCTCGATTGCAGGCTTGATCCCCGGCCCTGATTGGGGCACATGCGGGAGGCAACCAGTTCATGTGTCTCTCTCACACTGATGTTTCTCTCTCTGTCTCTCCCCCTCCCTTCCTCTCTCTCTGAAAATCAATGGAAAAAATATCCACAGGCAAGGATTTAAAAAAACAGGGCATACCGTAGACCTTGCCTGACTGTGCTCATGGTCAGGCAGGGGGGACAGTGTATGCAAGAGTAATTTGGAGTTAGTGTCAGTTCTAGCCAGCCTACTCAGTGGCTGGATAAGTGCACAACTTCAACACTTAAAAAATAAATAAATAAAAAACAACAAAAAGTGGTGCACAGAGGCTGCTGGGTGCCCCTGGGCCCTGCTGGCACCACTTCCCTGCAGGATGCATGGCACGTGCCCAGGCCTGAGGCTGCCCTTTTCTCCTTTTAGATGATGCCAGGAAGGACCAAGATCAACCCCATCGACCTGGTGAGGCCCCCCAGCCAGGAGCCACCCCAGGACAGAACCGAACAACCAGACCCAGCTCCCGGGTCCTCTCTGCCCTTCGTGGGTGCCAGCGGCTGCCCTGAGGCCTACAAGCGGCTCCTGTCCAGTTTTTACTGCAAAGAGACACATGGCATCATGTCACCACTGGCCAAGAAGAAGCTCCTGGCCCAGGTGAGCAAGGCAGAAGCCTTGCAGTGCCAGGAGGAGAGCTGTCGCCACGGGGCAGGTAGCCCGAATGGGGAACCCCAGGCGTCCCCGGCTGCTCGCCCCCCAGAGAGTCCCCGGAGCCCAGGAGGGTCACCTGAGAACCACAGGCACCAGCTGGCCCCTCAGGAGGGGTCACAGGGCCCTGGTGGCAGCCTCGGGGAGGAGGCTCAGGTGGGCCCCCACCTGCCAGCCCCCACCTTCACCGGCTGTTTCCATGCCTACCCCACCAAGGTGCTCAAGCCCATCAGCCAGCACCCCCGGGACTTCTTTCCCCATCTCAAAGATGGGGTGCTCTGGGAATCCCCTGGCAAAGAGGAGGGGCTGCCAGTCAAAGAGTCGGCGCTGGTGTGGGGTGGGGATGTCAACCGTCCCTCTGCATTCCACAGAGGGGGCTCCAGAAAAGGCAGCGTTTGCCCCAGGCCCAAAGCCTGCTGGGTGTCCCCCATGTCCAAGCTTCCTGCGGAGAGCCCCGTGCCCCTGCCCGCGTTCCCTGGCAGCTCAGGCCTCGGCAAGCGCAGCCGAGAGGAAGAGGGCTTTGTCCCTGGTGGCAAAAAACTGCAGGCAGTGCCTCCCTTTCTCAAGGAGGCGGATGCCAAGGAGTGTGGGGCCAAGTCTGTGGGGCCTGGCTTGGCCGTCTCCTGCTTGCTGGGCCCAGCCCTGGGGCCTGCCCTCCCAGAGGCCTACAGGGGCACCATGATGCGCTGCCCACTGAACTTCACTGGCACCCCGGACCCCTTAAAGGGCCAGGCTCCGTTCCCCTTCAGCCCCCTGGTCATCCCAGCCTTCCCGGCTCACTTCCTGGCCACTACAGCCCCCTCGCCCATGGCCGCTGGCCTCATGCACTTCCCCCCAGCATCCTTCGACAGTACCCTCCGCCACAGACATTGCCCAGCCTCATCGGCATGGCACGTGCCACCTGCCACAACCTATGCAGCACCCCACTTCTCTTTCCACCTTAATACCAAGCTGTAGGTTGGAGCCACCGCTCTGCACTGCTGTGGGGAGTCTGATGCAGCCTGAGATGGCGGCACTGCCGGGGGGCTTTGGGCTGGAAGCCCATTCCTCAGGGGAGCTTGGCTGTGCCCAATGCAAGAACAGGCCCATGGGGGGCAGCCTGGCTCAGAGGGTGGCAGTGGGGTTTGTCTTGGTAGCCTGGGAGCTGGGGTCCAGTTGTAGGAAGGCCTTAGGAGAAGCTGGTGCAGGGCAGGGCTGGCAGCACCCAGCTGGGCCCCAGAGCGGAGGCCAGGAACGGGGTGAGGGGCTGAGAAGCCAGCTGGTAGCTTGAGGCATCCAGACACCCACAGAAAACCCAATAAAATGCCATGTGAATCCACTGCCCTGAGGCGTAGATGGTGTGACCTTCTCAAGGGCTGGTGAGGCAGGGGTGTGTTTGGGGTGGGGCTGCCAGTGGGAAGGCAGTGCCCATCTTGGGCAGGGAGGGGGACACTGGGGTAGCAGATCCCTGACTTCCGGCCTCAGATTGGTCAATGGGTGGCCTTTCCTAGCTCCACTGGATCTCACCCTGCCTTCTGGGGTGCTTAGACCCTGGGAGGGGCAGTTACTGTGACCACCCCTTAGCTACCAGGTGGGCAGGCCGGGGCCAGGACCGCAAGACCACTGAGTATGACAGACCCGGACAGGGCACACTCAACACGTCTGGCAGCAGGGGGTGGCTGCCAGGGCTGAAGGCCATCCTGCCCAGCCTCCAACTCTAGCTCAGATGGCACAGGTGAAGCACCCGCCCTCCAAGCTAGGGATGGTGATGAGGAAGCTGGGGGGGATGGGCACCGCTCTTGGGAACACTCTCAGGCTCTCCAGGGGGAAATGTCCCAATTCTCCGCCCCCTCCTGGGAGCTGCCGGATGCCCCTCCAGGTACCTGTGAGTGTGGCCTCCAGCCCTGAGCTCCAACTCCCGCACACACCCACGTAATGCCCACCGCTCCAAGCCTCTGGAGTCAGTGGTTGAGAAAGGGGTGCTGGGTCAAGTCCCCCGGGTAAGGAGGGGTGTGAAAGGTACCTGTTGTGTGCTGGGTCCTCTTCACCTGCCAGGCCCAGCAGCCTCCCGTGTTGTCCACTGGCGTCAGTGCTTGGGTACAGGCTTCTCAGAGCTGTGGTGGCGGCGCCCTCTGGAGGCTGATCCGGGGATTACACCTGCCCGAGTGGAGCTGGACACAGCACTGCTTTGCTTGGGTGTCAGCACGTGCCCAGGGCTAAATGAGCGTGCCCTGTGCCCTGCAGCTCCGCTCTGCGCGATTTTCTCCTCACAGTCCCGGAGAAGGGACTGTTCTCACTTACAAATGGGGAAAGAGCCCTGAGCTCTGGAACTGCGCTGGCTGAGCAGAAGAGCTCCTGGCTCCTGCAGGGGGAGCCGCACGTGCCTCTGAGTTTGGAGCCGGTGCGGGAGTGGGGGGGCTGTCGGGCACTGAGGCTGGGTATTGAGCCTTTCAGATCTGACTGAGCTGGGAGCAGGCGATGGGCCTGGCCTGGCCTAACAAGAGCCCTGAGCTTTTGGGGGGGACTAGTGGCTGGGATGGAGGCAGGGACCACGCCCAGCGACACGCAGGCATCCTTGCGCAGGTTGGGGGCCACAAACTCTCTGGCGGTGCTTTGGTTTTCCTAGTGAGGATGGGGACCAGGGAATGGAGGGGGCAGTGGGAGGAGGGGAACGAAAACTCTGGAGAGAGGGAGCAGGCTGCAGGAGGCAGCGCCCCGGGGTTTCTAGGAAGCACCAGTTCTACTTGATGGCAGTTAGTGGCGCCAGGTCTGGTGAGACTGGCAGCGGTGAGGCCTTTTCCTGGCCACCTTGGCTGTGGCGTTGGAGAGGATTCATGCGAGTGGGGGCTGTGCTGGGAGTGTCCAGGAAGCAAGAGGGGGACCAGGTGCTGAGGTGGCACAAGAGTGATAGTGGCCGTGGGGTTGAGGCTGGGTGAGGAGAGGTGAGGACAGGGAGGGAGGGACCCAGGCAGGTGGTGATGGCGGGGGGCGGAGGGGAAAGACCATCGTTGGAGGAGAGGAGGTCAAGGACCAGAGAGTTAAGATGTGGAAACCCTGAGATTTGTACACACAAGACAGCAGTCTGCAAGAACTGGGGAGGGGGGACTTACGGTCCACCCACGACAGAGGCCTGACCTGCAGAATGGGAGCCACAGGCTGCCATGGGAGGGAGAGGAAGGGGTAGCTGGGGCCCCCACAGGTGAGAGATTTCTGTGGCTCAGGGAGGACTTAGGCTCAAGACAATGGCCTGAAGATGTATTTGGTTTGACCCGTGATTTTTTTTAAAAAAAGTTTCTGTAATGTTGCCAGCATTTAAAAATCAAAAGATCGCACATAAAAATTTGGGTATTGGGCTTCTCTTTAAAAACCGGAATATCTGGCCATGTGATACGACCGCCTGGAACTGGGCAGTAGCTGCTACCCCTGGGGACAGGGTGTACTGCCCATCTGCTACAGTCCCCACTGAGTCCTTGTGCTTCTGGCTGTTGCTGGCTCCCATGGCTCATCCCTTCCAGGTCACCATTTAGTGGTGCCACGCTGGTAGCTTGAACAGGGCCGAAGTGAGAGCACTCACACCTCAGGGAATCAGTAAGTGCTGCAAATAAGAGGTGCCCCCCTCCTCCCTGGCTCCCTTCAGGACACGTTTTCAGGAGGGTCTGGTCTGTCTTGTGCTGTGTTCCCAAGGAAGTGTCATCCGAGGAAGTGTGTGTGTGTGGACCACGTGGCAACCTCAGGCGAAAACACTTGCCAGGCCCCCACGTCCTCGCCTGTAGCACGGAGGTGACCTATTCCCGCATCAGAGCTATGGGCACTCTCTAGTGACAGTGCTTGGCAAATGAGCCCTGGATGAACGTGCATCCCCAGCTCCTTCCGCGGTCCTCGTGGCCAGCCTGCCCTGCCCTCACCTTGCGGGGTCTGAAGTTCCATCATGTGACTCTGTTGCTGTCCTACCTGGCTGACAGCCTAACCCTGACCCAGGTACCAGCTCTGATCGTGTTTTTTGCAGCTTTGAGCTGCCTCAGTGTGAAAGTGGTGCCATTGATTGGCAATGTCTGCCAAGGCAGCCCCAGCTCTGTTGCCAGCCCTGCCATATTGATCACCCGATGACTGGGTGAGGGCCTGTGCAGAGCTGTCTGGTTTCCCACCCAGAGGAAGGGCTGTGAGGGAGCAGGACCTGGGTGGGATCACTTGCCCGTGAGCTACCAAGTTGAATGCCTGGGTACTAATTAGGGAGGCAACTTCTATGGAGAAAATCAGGTAGGCTGCCTCCCCCCTGCCTGCC